TACTGTAATTCGTTGATTAGCAATCACCGCTTGTTCACTGCAGGGTATTGCAAGAAAAGAAAGCATTTATCTTTTTTTGAAAAAAAATCACAGCAGAATGTACTGCTGTGTCAGTAGTCGGGTTTCTGCTGCACAGCACCAGAGTATAAACAAGAAAATAATACCTGATCTGCTATAAAAACAGTGAACAAGACTGAGGTAGTGTGGACAACAGGCCACGAAGAGGAGATTGAAACCAAGAAATCAAAGAAGCAGATAACATACTTGCAACAACCTGAGAACAGAGATGCAATCTGTACAGCTTCAGATAACAGCTCATTGACTTGCCAGTTATATTGTTCACTAGTTCACTGGACAGCTATAACAAGGGAGTGTTTGGTGACACTGGCCTTTGTCCTGAGGAAAGCTGAAAGGGCTGTAGTACCCCTGAATAGGAGCCAGGGTTGCGCTGTCAACTTTGTGCTTGCTGGTGTCTGCTTTTGTTTATTTTTGTCAGGGGAACAATAGGCGAAGCATCTTATGAATTTCATTCCCTTTGAAGTATACTGTATCAGGCTGGTACTGCAGCTCTTCATTTTTAACAGCTACTTTAGGGATGAGGAAATAAACTAAATTATTATTCATTTGCATACTGACCATGAGAGAACTGATTAAATATGGGTTTTTCAGAGCATTTCCAAATAAAAAAAATATCTTCATTTCCCTGCAAACTCTTTACCTATTATCCTGTTTTCTTTTCAAAGCTGCATGTAAAATTTGATGGTCTTCCAGCATTTTCTTTGATGCTCTTCATCTGTGTATTTGTCAAAAATGATAAATGGGAGTTCTTGGCTCTAGAAGGGCCAAGGGATTTTGTACTGACGGAGAACATGTACAGTACCTGTACCTGTACACACACTATCTTAATGCACAGTATTTATGCAGCACATCTGCCAGCTACCGCTTGTGTCTGTGTTCTGTCTGTGCTCGTAACTCGTCTTCACTTCCCAGCGATCTCCACATTGAAACTACCTGATCTCCCAGCCCCAGGGCACCTGCATCTGCCAATGGGATGTGTTGTCCTTAAGTATGTTATTATTGCCTTAAACCTGTACGAATTCATGTCCTGCTTCTAGGCTTTTCTGCCTGAACCTGGGAATACTTCAGATAAAACGCAGCACAGAATTAACTTTACATACAGTAACAATACAAATTCTGAGGCCATGGTAAAGTTAATTTACACCCCATTTACATCAAGATTTAAAAGCACTGTAGTGATTAAATTTTGTTATGAATTTAAACAACCTATTGCTATGGAAATAAACATGTTACTGTACATTATTTCCTTCTGCTCCAGTTATCAAAAAAATAAACCTAGTTTTAGATTGTTCTTTAAATCTTTTGGCTCTGATAAGTGGGCTATGGATAAGATTAATTCAAAACTCATTCTCCAGGCACAGATTACAAGCCCTGTACTTGATAGCTGCCTGAGGCTTATTCTGTTTGTCCAATGGAACCTGCTATCAAGTTCTCAAAACTCAGAATGTGAAGGTGGAAAGAGGGTCGAAATTTGATTTAGTATGGACTTTAGCGTTGTGATAGGAATTTTAGTCATTTATTTGAAAATCCTATTTAAACTTTTGCTGAGTCATATTTTTTTATAAAATCTTTTAAAATGTTATCTTCTCTTTAATTTTAAGAGTTTTGAAACCTTTAAGTTTAGCTCTGCAGTGCTCTGTAATTAAATGAATGTCCAGCATGCAGGAGTCTAACTCCCAGTATTACAAAGGAGTGAGAGGTAAGAGCTTGACTGATAAAGCAGCATTTTACTGTACATTATTGTCATATTTTAAAACATTGAAAATGTGCTAATACAGATAACAGAAATCTTTCCTTGCTCACAATTTAAGAGTTTTGCAATTTTCAGCAGTCAGGAGTACATAACAATATGTAAAACCTAGTGAAGATCACAAGGCAGAATTGAACCAACATTATTGTGTCATATTGCATGAGCTACACCTTAGAAAATGCATTACTGTTGTGGGAGATTGATAAGATTTGCCTGGGATTCTCTTTTCTACTAGGACATTGCCTGACTCTGAAAGTTCACTTCTTTCTCAAGGACTCAAGGACTTCTGGGTTCAGTGAGAAATTTCATTTTTCCAATCATTTTTCTGGGTTCATTGAGGGTTCATTTTTCCAAAAGCCCCAGAAATCGACTTCAACAACTTGGCAGGATAGCTTGTGTGTTTGTGGTAGAGCAGAAGGCTGCTTGAAGGTCTACCTCAGCTAATACTTTTGGACCACGTGTTGTAGCATTTGTGTCTTTTTCATATGAAATTATCACTGATGCAAATAGTCTTCTATGAGCAGGTTTCAAAGCTTTTTAAAATAAAAGGCTGTTAACATAAGTAGAAATAGAAATGTTATCTAATCTTTGTTTTCTTGTAAAACTTGTAAAACTTTTGCAAGTCTATTATTATTTGTATTAGGACATACAGTACAAAGCAAAAAGGTTTGCTTTTTTTAAGGGAAAAATAATCACTTGCTGTAAAGGCAGAGGTGTTTTTTGTGTGAAGATTGACCCATTAGTGAGAATGTAATTTATTTCTGCATGTACACTACATATAATAATAAAACAATTAAATTTTGAGCACTTTACAACAAAGCTCAAAGCATATCACACACCTTTTGAAAGGTCCACAAGATTAATAAAGAAAAGAACATGTCCAAACAGGAGGATGAATATGAAATGATGTTTGTGGCAATTTATTTGTCACAGCTGATGAATATGTGGCAAAGTGCTATAAAAACTGTTTTCGATGTTGTTGTTTTTTAAAGAAACATTTATTTATTGCTTGGCCTCTCCTTTTTAAATTTAATATAGTGCAGCATTTTCATTAACCAAATTTAAATTGATTAAAACTTTATTCTGCCCTCTAGCTAAATCACTTTTCTGTTTAAGCCATTATTCATTAAACCTGGTGCTCTTACCTTAGGAAGTGTGCTTGAACCCAGAACTACTTGGATTCAAGGTGAATAGCAGAAAGTTTAAGCGCAATGTAACAACACGGTATGGAAGATGGAGACGTACTGGCTCTGCCACTGTCTGTAGAGAACTATGTGAGCATTATGTGGACAGGTTGATGCATTATGAGTCTGAACATAATAGAGGCATTGGAGTACAGTAGCAGCTTCCCAAGGTGCATGTAAGCATAGGAAACAGCCAGGTCTCAGCTCCGTTCCTTGTCTGCACATCCTGCACATTTCTCTATATTTTTTACCAAGTGAATCAATTGAGATCCAATTCTCTTTTACAATTATGACTGGGAGACCTGTTTATGCAGCAAGGCATTTACTGGGAGGCTGGGGGTCCCACTTCCATTCTGGAGTTCTGTTTCCATAGAGTTTCCTGACAGATCAATCCCAAATTTAAACAGTGAGCTCTCACACCATGTACATTTTCTCTTCATTCATTTCATTCATTGAATGCACGATGCTTGATGAGTTTTAGAATTGTGAGTTTTGATGACTTACAGTAGTATCTGCTTTGAACATCAGTGTTAGGGGAACTTTATAAAAACTGAACATTTAACAGAGGAAAAACTCATAAATTCTTCTAGAATAAAATTTTATGTTTATTTTAAAGACAAGAACATAGGCATAGCAATGTAAAAGGATTAATCATTTATCCCCCAAAAACAAAAATGTGAGTTAAATAATTGCATTTTCAAAACACAGCCAATGCTTTTGAATTTCTTTAAGACTATGGAAAGTTAATTATTGAACATCTTTGTTGATATTTCTTCTTTAATTCTTTCTGTCTTACGGGCATGTGCAGTGTGATTTTCTGTCTCTCCATCACCACCACAATGACAACAATAATAATATTAACAACAAAAACAACAACAACAAAAAAACGCCCAATTACTAACCACTTTATCCAAAACAGGGACACAGAGGAACTGCAGCCTGTCCCACCAAGCAGCAGGACGCCAGTCCATCACAGACAAACACAGACACACACGCTCACACACTGATTTTCCCAGAAGGACTGTGGGAGGAAACCAGAGCACACAGAGGAGACCCACACAAACATGAGGAGAACATACAAACTCCATGCAGAAAGCACCCCAGGAATTGAACCCAGGGCACCAGTGCCGAGAGGCAGTGATGCTCCCAACTACTGTATAATTCCACACTACTTCAGATGTGCTGCTTGTTGCCTTCTCATTGACTGCTTCACATACTGTACTGTACACAGACAGCAATGGTCACATATTGATGGTCTTAAATTACATTTGCAGATGCATTAGAACCCAGAGTACATTAGCTGAGCATGAAAAAAGCATAATTAAAATGGTTAATAACCCCTACTTAGGGGTTGAAGACAACACTTGGAAATTGTATAATTGTCACTGTTAACAGCTACTTTATTATGTACATTATTTAGACAGTCATCTGCAACACCTAGGACAGTACACAGTTAAAGCACATTGCTGTGTACCCCCTTTGCAAATATAGTGCTTGGCTGATTATTCTACATTTTGTCCTCTATATACTTTTTAGCTTTTAGTGAAAATCGGGTTCATGAAGCCTCTTAAGAGAGGGAAACAAATGCAAGAGCTGTCAGAAGCTATCCCTGTGTACACTTGGTATATCTATTGAGATGCTGTTCACTGAGAATTTAGATGGTGCTGAAAATGTCTGTTGTCAAAACTATAATGAAAATTAATAGAAAATTTTCCTCTCTTTGTCACCGTCTCTGTTTCCTCAGTCTCTGAAATATGATACAGTACCGACCAGCCTTTGTCACAGATATTGATGCATAGCTGTCTCGTCCGAAGCCTTAATCTTCTCTCCTGACCTCTGAATCAAAAGCAGAGAGGTCAACTATCCAGCGCAAGTCTCAATAAACTCTTAATGCAGTTTCTTTGTTATTTAAAATGATCAGTTGACCAGGAAGCAGCTTTGATGTACAGTACAAATCAGTTACAGGTCGTGCCTTTTTGTCCTGACAGCGAGGAAGATTATAATTCTCCATATCGGGACTCAGACAGCTTACCAGACAGTGCACAATGTGATTGGCTACCTGAAGGGAGGCATCAACCCTGGTAAGAAATCAGAGATTAATAAAAATTACCTTTCAGGCAGCAGAACAAACTATGTGTGTCTGAAACAAGTGCAATTTTTAGACTTATTGATTGTGAATATTACTTTGATATTAATGTAGCTCACATACCACAAAATAACTGTTCACAACTACAGCCAAAGGCAATATGGAGCATATGACTCAGCTCTGCATTGCAATACTTTCTGCACCTTGTATTGCTTCAGTTATTGTATTATGTCAAATTACTGTGTTAACTGTTCTACTTGTGCTTTCAAACTTATGATTTTTTTCACAGCTCATTGGGCATCTGAATTGTACTGTAAGTCACCTTGGACAAAGGTGCCAACTATGTTAATTAATTGTTATGTTCATGATCTGTCACAGTTATCTTCTCAACTTGGCATCAGGAAAAGGAAGATATTGTTTGGTGCTTTTGGCAGGGGCGTAATCCTTTTAGGAATAACTGTAATACACCTACTGTACTTATGGCCTGTGCTCCATATCACTTTTGCAAAATGCTACATCCTACAATACACTTTACAATGTGCAGGCTTCCACACCTGGAAGACAGCAGGCGGGGTTCTGGTTCTGGCCCGAGCAGGCTGTGTGGGGTCACTAGTGAGCCCCTCAGTACCAGGCCTGCGCATCTGCACAGTGTTGCATCTCAATATTTACTGTACGTTGACCGACGTTTATTGTCCATTCTTAAAAAGGTAGAAACCAGTTCCTTACTTTGGCAACGTGTAAAATATCACCTGGAGAGCACTTCTGCGATACTTTTCAATTTCTTTCTGTTATTTATACTGGAAGGATGAAGAGGTGGGGGATGACTTTAACGCCATGGTTATGGTTGTATGGAAGCTCTTGGTTGGTAATTTCCCCCCTGCAGTCTGCAGTTTCTCCACCCGCGAATTCGCGTGCTCTCGTGTATCGAGGCTCCTAGAACATTCTCAAGGGCCCAGAGCTTCTCAGGCTGTCCCAGTGAGGCGCACTGTACTGCGTTTATTTTCTGCCGTGTCCTTTTGTAATGTGGCATATCTGTGTGTGGTACTGGAGAGCTCCTTTCCAGTGCTCCTGTGTTGTGTTATCCCCTGCGCCTTCAGGAGCGCTCCCCCTGAGCAGAGCACTGACGGCTCCCCCTGTCTGTTGGCAGATCGCTATGTCCTGGTCGGCAGCCGCCACCGCAGCTGGGCCGGTGTAAGCGCAGCGGGAGCGGACAGTGGCTCGGCCATCATCACCGAGGTCGTCGCCTCCCTGACCGCGCAGATCAGACAAGGTTGGCAGCCAGACCGTACCACTGTTTTCTGTTCGTGGGGAGGATCAGCATTCGGCAATATTGGCTCCTTTGAATGGGGAGAGGTAAATTTAAGAACATAAGAACATAAGAAAGGTTACAAATGAGAGGAGGCCGTGTGGCCCGTCTAGCCTGTTTGGTCGTTAGTAGCGAACTCATCCAAGGATCTCATTTAGCTGTTCTACACTCCCACAAGCCTTTGGGTAAAGATGTGCCTCAATGTTCTCAGTTTTAAAAGCTCTTCCGCTTAGTCTCTACCTACAGTATGCCCTCTGGTTCATGTGTTCTTATTCAGCCCCGTCTGATTTTACATTCCCCCCCCCCAGCAAATTCTGGACTTTGCTGGTGAGGTTCTGCTGTGATTCAGACACATTCCCCTGCCTTGCGCTAAGACGGTGTCAGGCATTGCACATCTCTCATTTCTATTTTCAGCCCTGGTTCCTGTCTCCAACACCACTGAGACACTGGATAGCCAGGATCTCGCTGGTGAAGAGAACGTTAAACGGCAACAGATATTTTTACATGCACCCTATTCATTTTTTTAAATAATTGTTACTTCAGTGTCCACCGTCCAGGAGGACATGCGTGTCTTTGTATACTTAGATGACATGCGCTACATCCAGGGAGCTGTGATAGGTCCTGTTGTATGACAACATTTCAAAGGCATGTTAAACTAAAAAACATACAGTAAGTGTTCAAGGGTGCCAAGCAAGTCCAGACCCACTTAAATCAATAGAGAGTGAACTAAATCTAGAGTGATCCCTACAGTTCTGTATCAAGTTCGCAGGACAGTATCCAGTACTGGAAGAAGAGCAGTTAGAAATACTGTTCACCAAGCAGGACATACTTTGTATGTGTGCTTTACTGGTATTTTCAATCAGTATGAATTAATATGTAAGGATGCATTTTGCTTTTAGACACTTAAAAATGTCTAAGAGAGCAATAAACGACATGTGCATATGACAGCTGGTGTTTCCTGTGTTGTGTTCTGCAGGAGCTGAGGCAGGTGCTACTGAGCAATGCTGTGGCCTACGTGAGTCTTCACCATCCGGTCAGAGGGAAGGGACCGCTCCACGCCATCGCCTCGCCTTCTCTGCAGCAGCTGGCGGCAGACATTACTCACAAGGTACTCGCTAACCTCCTCCGGGGGAACGATTGCCCCGCGCTCTGGAGTGCAGTGTGTTCGCCATGATCGATTAGATAGCTTCCACTCAGCTAAAAATGTAACATAGTGTACTGTACAGTACGTAGCAGTACCTGCTCCTGTGTTTGCACAGGTCTGATTTTTTTCCAGTTTCTGTCTGTTTGTTTTTTTCTCAGAAGATCTTAAAATGCCTTGTTGTTAAAATTTCATTATGTGACAGACACCGGACAACCTACAGTAATGAACGCTGAGAATTTTTCATCTGTGTGTAAAATGAAGCCTCACACTGCTTCTGTGCCAGTTGGCAGTTCAGACTGTGCCGGCCAAAACAGAGGCGTCTCTCAGTCGCTCAGTTAGGTTGATTTTTGGTCTCTGCATCGGTGCATTGGATACATTATTTTAATGCTGTGCCCAGTAGGTTTCTAAACGTGCTCTAGGACATGAGATCACAGTTATGGTGGTTTTGACAGTTGCCAACAGTAATCCTTCGAGACTGGGGTGTCCCAATAGCTTGGATTGCCACTGCTGAAACAAACTGAAGGTCCCTCGTGACAGTTCCTCCACTTTTCAACCCAATTTCAGTGACAGCTAGACTCCATAACTGAACTTTATGTCACTGGAGTGCTGAAAAGGTTAACTTATTTAAATGTTGTCAATTTTTCTGTTCTTCATGAGCTCACGTTAATACAAGCAATGTGCATAGCACGGCAGGTCAGAGGTCACATGCAAATAATGGAATGCTCTATAATTTCCTCCAAAGCAATAACCCTTTTAATTAACCTAAATGCCAGTCCACCTGTGACATTTTGTAGTAATAAAATGAGTTCTCTTCTGCATTGCTAGCATGAACTAAATCTCTTTGCGAGAAGAAAAGATTAATTATTACCCATAAGATTAATGCTGGATAATGTTTTTTTTTCTTTTTTTTAAATTTGTGAATAATGTGGTTTGTATTTTTACATGTTCTGGTGGGATACATTACATACATATTAACACAACAGCTGATAAACTCAAAACTCCCCCCACCCCAGCACACTGATGAGTTACGTGTCTACTACACTCCAAAGCTCTTTTATCTTCATGGGTACCACTGGGTCTTTTGCTTCTCTACACATAAAAATAATCTTGACTCAATCTATTAAGCTGTTCAACTACATAAAGGAGATCTATGAACAAAATCTAGAGGAGCTGTTGAAGATCAGATATGGATATCCTTACGTTGGATCCAGAGCTGAAGTTCTCCATAAATACAATACGAGTCTAAATTATTTTTTATCAAAGCTCAGTCATGTTAATTGTTGGTAACCTTGACAAACTGTTATTCTTTTTAAAGGTTGTCAATGGAAAAAAATGACTGTCAGTTAAATGTGTTTCTCAGAGCAGCCTGATTTAAACAATAATATTTTGAAAACACTCCAAGCATAGCAATGTGAGAACTGCATGTATAAGCTCTGTGTGTGTTTACCCTTTTGACTGACAAGCTCTCATTAGCGCTCTTGAATTGAAGGGCAAATCTGTTATATTAATGAAAGACAAACCACGCAAGCTGATATTCAGTTGCTGGCAAGCAGTTATTTTTGTTGGCTGAGAGACTCATGCTCTGAGGTGGTTTTGCTTGTCTTTGTGTGACGGGGTGTGTTGGTGGGCACTAGTGGGGTGTAGCTGGGTTCACTAGAGAAGTGTTTTATTGGCCTGATGAATTTTAATCTCTATACCTGATATCACTTGAGTTGCTTATTTACTAAGCTACATCACTTTCCCCACAGACTGCTTCTAGTTTTTTATTTATTTAGTTTGAGTGTGATAGTCCTTCCTCATTGAAAGTGTTTGAGTTGGTAATGTATTGAAAATTTGTCTCACTATACAGTATTAAGGAATAATTCTAAAGACCCTCTTTTTAATGTTTTTAAAAATAAATAAAGGGTTAAATTTGCTTGGGATAAAAACCCTGGGAACTCCCATTTTCTGAAGGTGGATTAATTAAAAATTCACACTTGGAAAACAGGAGCAATGACTGACTGGCATAGAAGATTAGATACAATTAGATTACTTTTGAGCCGATTACAGACCATCAATTTTATAATACTCTAATCATCTAATCAAATCTATTTAGTAACTGGATTTTTCAGTATTATTGAAAAAAGGTTTTTGATGAAAATCACTTAAAAATGTCAGCTTTCATTTCTGGCATGTATGGCAACACCAAAACCACAATGATGCATTTATAGGACAGATGTGTGGTAAGAATTAAGCTTCTCACATCTCATGCTTTAAGAGAAGTGACCACCTTTATTGAAGTGGTTTCAGGGGAATGCCTGGGGTGCCAGAAGACCCTTTTAGTTTTTCTACCAATATGATAAACTTCATCTCTCTTTAGTCTCTTTTTATCATACCGCACTCCCTTTATTTTTAACTTTTTTTATTAATGACAATACTTCTTAACCTTGCCGAATGCCTATCAATTTTAAAGCTTTCCAGAGTATAAGAATATCCACAGATGTGTTGAAGAGTTGAGTTAGTGCTAGTGTCTGGGTAGTCTGTATCAGGTCTGTATAAGTGCTGTGGTTGCACCTAGCGTGAGTTTTAGGCATCCCATTACGCCTAGACTGTTTTTAATCGGTGACTATGTCACTCCTCATAATCTTCCCCCACAATTTCTAACCCTCTTTAAATTTGCTGTGACCTGCATTAGTGCTGTTTGCCCTACCAGAGCTCTATGATCTAAGGAGAGTGTAGCTGTTCTTATTAGCATGATGCTTCAGTGAATTTCAATATAAACAGAGGAACCATGTCTCTGCCTGTAGCTAGACTTTCAGTAAAGACAGTAGAGTGTATGCAGTATATTCAGGAACATTGGTGGTTAAAGTAGATACCAAGAAAAGGTAGCAATTGTATTTCTGAAACACAGCTTGTTCAGTACAACCTAATACCCAAAGTATTTGTTATAATTAATATATAAAGGCTGATACTGAAAGCAGATGTTTTCTATATTATACTTAATGCTTGTGCAGGTTTTCAGTAATAATGAACACAATTGCCTATAATTGTCTTATACTGTAGGTGAAACCCATTCTAAAGCTTTACCAGCTTTTTAGATATAATGTTTATACATCTTTGCAAGAATACTAAATCAAAGTTGTAAAGCATTTCTGAATTCTTCTTATTATGAAGCCTTACCAATCAGCTTTGGGATATAAAGTGTCACCAAAGATTAATGTAATGTTAATATGCTCGGTTTTCTGTTTTTAAAACCTCCTTGATATTTTTATGCAGTCTGATCCTGTCTATTTTATTATTTGTAGTGGAGCTGCATCTTCAAAAAAATTTTTTTATTAGTTTCAACAACAGTGCATCTTTATTAGGACACCCCCATAAAGGTTCCCACGTTTACTGGAATTCATTTTGTAGTGTACAGCGAAATTGCCTCCGTTAGTTATATACTCTTAGTGCTCATTTCTCCACGCCCCCACCCCAGGCCATAAATAAGCAAGCACACAGGTCCTTGTGTTTCTCTGTGGCCAGCTGCCCACTCCACAGTAAGTTAATTAGATGGGCAGTTTGCCCGAGCTTCACACCTAGTGGAAAATCAGCAGTATTGCATGATGCTGCTCCTCTAAACCACAGTCTGTCCAACCAGCCTCCCGTCTCAGCTACAATTTAAACTGTTCAAAAATAACAACAGCGGGGCGCGGTTCTTTCTCTCTCTGCCGCACTCTTTGGGGGAAACTCCCAGCGGCGCATGGGGAAGGAAGAGAGCGGACCCCGCTGCCTGAGCCTGGGACAATCAAGAGCACACCCAGGGCGAGACTGGGCACAGGCCACAGAGGGACTCGGCACGTCAGCGCAGCTTCGCTGGAACTTCTAATCTTGAAGGTGCTGCCCCGGTTCGACACAGAGAGTCCTGCCCCGTGTTCAGGTGCAGGGCCGCTGTGTCTGAACCTGGGCTGGGGGCTCTGCCGTGGGCCCCCAGAGCGCCAGCTCCGCTGCCCCGCGGTTAGACTTCTCCGGCCGGCATCGCACATCCTGAAGCCGGAGAACTTGTTTTGGATCTCTGCAATTATGTAATTTGTCTTTGGACTATCACTTTGAAAAGCACCAGGTACACTCAACAGTCTTAGTATTCTGAGGTACTTTAACCATATAATAAATCATGTTTGTGAGGTGCTGGTAATATTTTCCACTTATCTTACTTTGCAGCTGTCTTCAAAGCTGAAATGCCACTGTGTTGATATGCTTCGAATGGGTGCTTTGGAACCAATTATAATAAAACAGACACTTCTTTGGGGATTACAGGGTCTAGCGTACAAAATAAATTGAAAGAGTTTTCATAATTTAATTGGGTATTGTTGTAGCAGTGCATGTGATTCATTCTGTTTTAAACATCAGAGATGTTTTAATACTGTATAGTACAATGAATTGTAAATTCGTGGTACATTACATTTTTCATTTTATTATTACTAATAAAAATATTGTGCGTGTTCATTGTGGTTATAAAAATGTTGAGTAAACGCTCATCATCCTGTTAGTTAATGTAGTAAAACTTTATATCCGGGGTTCTGTCATGTAGTGTGACTACAGTCCTCGATTTAATGGTCTAATAATTCAAAAATTTCAAATAAACACACAACAATCCTCTTTTAATGGAAAAGTGAGCTCTTCATGTGAACTAATTTAATTTATTCACTTTGGGAATAGCAAAATGGCATTATCCGTGGACACTAAATTACAGTAGCTTTCCGTTTCGGAATCAGGCTGGTAGACCCTAACCCACTTTAAAATCTGTCTTTTTTCACTGTGTTCTGAGCAGCATAACATTGCTGGCTTATGGCACATCCGTTTAATTCCAAAATGTGGGACTGAGTCCCCCCCCCCCCGAAATTATTGAGCCCAGGTGGCAGGAACCCTTGCAGGTGCAGTATAAGGGAATTAAATTAGTAGATTTCCATATCTCAACCCCCCGCCTGCCCCCCTAAATGAATGTG